TGGGACCGGAGCCGAAACCAAGAGTCAGATGTTCAACCGACGGAGCTCCCCAGGCGCCCTGATTTAATGTGTCTTAGTAACTTGGTACTTGGGAGCCGATGCCCCCTTCTGGAATCTGGGCGTGAGAATTTTCTCATGCTGGCTCAAGGCCACACTGGGGACAGTTTACCTGTGGGCGGTATCACCTGGAGAGCAGGTAGAAAGAGTGGCTAGGAAAAGACCGAGCTGCCGGCTTCTGCGGGCTTCTGCGGGGCTCGCTCACATGGCCCAGCACGACTGGGATCGTCCAGGATTCCGAGAACGTAGGCTGTACGTTACCTCTCCTCTGCACCCTCGGGATACATTTCTAGAGAGACCGGTGGAGAGTGTACTGTTTTATGTGGCTTCGTGAAAAGCAAACTTTCATAGGAACTGAGGACCCCAGAAGCGGAGGCCCTTGTTTTGTGAAGCCGATGGCAAAGAATCCTTGTCTGTAAGGCGCCGGGAGAGCCGAACTGTAATTTCTGTCCCAGGACCTTCATTTCCAGAAGTAAACAGAGGGGTCAAGTCGGGCCATACGAGACAGCATCCCTCCCCGTGGAGAAGGGCTCTCACGTCCTAGCCTGGGTCAGCCTCAGGCTGTCAGCCGGAGGACCCCAGTTCCCTGTGGGACGTGCAGCTGCAGGGCCCAGCCAGGGTTGTGTGTGAGTGTGTACACAGACACACGTGCACACACCTCTGTCACATAGACACACCAGCACTCACATACACACCCCCGTGGGGCACAGTGACTCTGGGTGTGGTGCCCGCCCTCCCCCCCACCTCTGTTCTGGTCACCAGTCTGCCTGCTGCCTTGGGGACAGGTTTTGATACCGTCTTGTGGTGTGGCCAGGTGTGGCCAGGTGTGGCTGGGCGCTGTCCTGTTTGTTTGCTCTCGTCCTTGGTTACCGGGACTGGGCCCCAAATGCAGCCACGACATGGCCATAAAGTAGTTTGGGAGCAGGCCTCCCACAACCTCTCTGGGGCTCTCTTCGTCACTGGTGGCTGCCGGTGCCGCCGTCCTGCCCCCCGTGGGCTCCTCCCCTGGCCCCCCACGCTCCAGGTGCTTCTGAGGAGAAAGAGTAGCCGGGAACGTGGAGTTTGGACCCGGCGGGATCTGGCCACATCGGCCGGCCTCTGGGGGACTCAGTGCTTCAGGCGCCAACGTGACGCCCGCTGCCTTCCCGGGCTGCGGTGAGGGCCGGTGAGCGGGACCTGCAGACCACACTCGGCTCTGCTGGGACGCGAGCGTGCACCTTCGATGAGCCAGGGGCATCCCCGTGAGTGCTCCCTGGTGGCGGCGGCTGGCCGGTTCTCCTCCCACTGCACTCCCTTGGGCCTCCTTCCAGAGCAGGGAGGGGCTCCCCCAGGCCTCCAGGGCTCTGTCACGGCCTCTGACACCCCGCTGTGGGCTCCGGGACCTGCGGGCGTCCTCGGAACACAGCCACGTCGGTCCCGAGCACGGCAGGTACTGCCAGGTTTTGAGCTCTGACCGTGAGGCAAGTCCGGCTCCGGACTTGGTGATGCAAAGGGCCAGGCCCCTCCCAGCAGCGGTCCAGCACCACTGGACTTTCTTTTGCGAGATGACAATAGCAGAGGGCGCTGCGGGGCGTGTGATCTGAGGTCTCACTCGGATGGGGACAGAAAGCAGGTGAGCATGCTACGCCGTGTCTGACTCGACTTGACTTCTGGCTGGATGCCTTGTGTTCCCAGGGGCCAGCCGGTGGGCCCCAGACAGAGTGGGGGAGGTGCGTGGCTGGCCAAGAGCCCAGGGGCCATGCCCTGTGCCTCTCTGGTCGGGCTGAAGAGCTGGAGGGGCACATGAGTGTCCAGGACACACAAGGAGGGCCTCTTTCGTGGCTGCTTACGTCTCAAGCGAGCACCAGATGCGGTGGCCCACAGGGGAGTGGGAGCACTCCCTGGACCCTCCTACCACGGACCACAGTCCCCTGCTCTCCTCCCTCTCGTTCCAAGGGAGGGGATACAGCCTGAGCATCCAATCTGTTCTCACGAGCTCCCTCCCATCCTGGGATTAGAACGAGTCACACCAGAGGAGCACGCGGCCGCTACGTCCCCTCGACGGTGGCGGTGGCCTTTGCTAAGTCAGGTGCTGGAGGTCCTTGACGTAAATAGTAGTAAGTTTTCTCTTTCCTGGCAGGTGGCTTTCTCCGTGCCACACCCTCTTCTGTGGGCTTCTTGTGAAATTTTATTTGCAACCGCATTGTATCTCTCAGACGTTTTGTGTTTGCGTTTTGTAATGGTGTGGGCGGTGCCTGCGGGAACAGACAGCAGCGGGCGGTTGTAATCGCTTCTCTGGCCCAGAGGCTCTTTGCAGGCACGAGTGTGGACGTGTAAAGGTTGAGCCTCCTTGCTTGTCTTTTGTTCTGAGCCGGGCGCCTGCTCTCGCCCCTCCCCACCCCTGCTCGCTCTCCATCGAAGATGACAGTTTGTGCAGTTTTGTGATAGGAGAGGTCTCTTCCCCGACGACTGTGTGGTCCGTCCCCATGAAGAACAGCAGAGCTCTCTGGAGTCGGCAGCCGCGATGGGGCTGCTGTGAGCGTTGGGCCAGCCCGGAGCCTGTGCTCATTCCCTGGGGCCAGGTGGGCAGTGTCCCCATATGCCTGTGGCCTGTAGGGGGGGCCTTGTGGGGAGCACAGGACACACCGGCTTCTGGACAGTATACTTGGTGGCTGTTTAAGACTCACTTTTTGTTTTTAAATGTTTATTTTTGAGAGAGACAGTGCTAGCAGGAGAAGAGTAGAGAGAGAGGGGGAGACAAAGACTCTGAAGCAGGCTCCAGGCTCCGAGCTGTCAGCACAGAGCCCGACGCGGGGCTCGGACTCACGAACTGTGAGATCATGACTAAAGCCGAAGTCAGATGCTTAACCGACTGAGCCACCCAGGCGCCCCAAGACTCCCCTTTTTGAGATTGAATAGGACTTTTCAATTCACTCACCCAACAAACACATGCTTCTAGACAGTGAACGACAGTGAACAAAAAGAGTGAACAGACTTTATTTTTTAGGACAGGTTTAGATTTACAACGAAGTTAGCTAGTACTCTGCCCTCCGGATTTCCTGTTACCGTTGATGAGTGGTTAGGGATACATTTTATTATTGGAACTCCACGGTTTACATTTACATTGGGGTTCCCATCTTGGTGGTGTGCATCTTGTGGGTTTGGACCAACGGATCACATGCATCCACCTTTATAGCGTCACACAGACCATTTTCACTAAAAATTTTTTGTGTTCTACTCATTCCCACCCTGCACCAGGGCAACTGCCCATCACCTTTCTGCGCTGGTCCACCTTTACCAGATGTCACAAGGTTGGAGTTGTACCACTGGCTTTTTTCCCTGGGTGATATGCCTTTGGGATTCCTCTGTGTGTTTTCATTTCTTTTTATGCTGAATGATGTTCCTGGTCATGGAATACAGGTAGTGATTTTTTTTAATGTTTATTTTTGAGACAGAGAGAGAGAGAGAGAGATAGCGCACAAGTGGGGGGAGGAGAAGTGAGAGAGGGAGACACAGAATCTGAAGCAGCTGCAGGCTCTCAGCTGTCAGCACAGAGCCTGACGTAGGCCTTGAACCCACCAACCGCAAGATCATGACCTGAGCTAAAGTCAGATGCTTAGCCAATTGAGCCACCCAGGCGACCCAGGTAGTGACTTTTCAAACACCAGAGCCCTGATTCCTGGCAAGTCCTTGGCAGGTGCCCCAGAGGGGAGCACTGAGCTCTTCAGGTGCTGTGTGGACCCCTCCACGAGAAGAATTCACCTCCTGCTCGGTGGGCCGGCTTGTCTGGCTGTCGCCATCCCTTAGGCGCCTGTCTGTAACTCCAGAGGCAGTTCTTCTTCCTTTTCTTTTCGCTTTATATTTATTTGTTCACATGTTCCCTCCCGCACTCATAGAACGTTGATATGTGTGTGTGTAGAGCTGAGGACACATGTGTCATGGAGCTGTGTTCCTGTTTCCTGAAAGTACCAGTCCACAGGGACCCTGGCCATCGGGTGGGCGGATCTGGGCATGAAGATCCGCGTGTGGAGGGATCTGGGTGGCTGAGGGGCCATGTGTGGGTGGATCTGGACAGCAAGAGGCTGTGTGTGGGGAGGGGTGCAGGTGGCGGGCTTGGGGCCCTGTCCTGGACAAGCATATGAGTCAGCATCGGAGGGATGTAAGTTCCAGACAAACCAGTGACCTTGTGTCATGTTTCTTGAGGAACTGAAGATAAGGAAGGGGTTATAAATAGTCCTCACAGCCAGAGCCAAGGTCACGCTGCCAGCCACTCCAGGCCGCAGGGGCAGTGAGTCAGTTCCCTGGGGTCTATGCACATTTCCACTTGGGGTGTCCCAGGGGTCCCGGGGGGTGGGGAGCCAGGAGGTGGCTCACTAGGGGCTGAATCTTGCTTGCGGGTGCCGGGACCCTGGTCTCACCTGTGTGCCCCGTGCACGCCACTTCTGAGTACCCCAGCTCTTCCCACCTCCCCTGCTCAGATGAGGAGGTCGGGCCCCAGAGTGACTCCAGACAAACGTTCTAGAAAAGGAAGTTCATTTTGTCGGGAATGTGAGCGCTAGGTGTGGCTGTTGGCGTGGGGGCCTCCTGGAGACCACCAGGCAGGGCCCCCACCTCCTCGATGTGGCCCCCATCTCCATGCCATTCGGAGGGAGGGCCTCCCTCCAGACCCCAAGCTCGGAAGAAGAGACTCTGTGAGGAGCAGGGGCCGCCACTCTTGCAGGGAGGCTCCTTGGTTTCTATGACATTCCATAAAAGGAGCTGGATTTTATAAAAGAAAGATTTTATAAAAGAAAGAAAATGTTTATGAAGGAAAACGTGGACTTTCTTAACCACAGATCTTGTCCGTCTTTGACGCTGCAGCTTTGTGGCTGCGAGTAGGGTTCGCGTGGGGGCCGTGCCGGGGCTAAGGTTATGTGGGGTTTTCCCAGGAGCCTGTCTGCTTACCTTGTTTCTTCTCGTTTCAGGTGCTGACTCGCTGCTGTACGCAGGTGCGCGTGGAACAGGTGGGTCGTCCGTGTGTCATGGGGGCGCCGGGCTTTTCACGTGGGATCATCTCTTCATGCAGGGTGTGCTTTGGGGCTCTCACGGTCCCTATGGACCTCAGACAGGACCCGCTCTACTCACCGAGCCTTGGCCTGGACCCCTGGCCTCAGGCCACTTGCACACTTTCCTTAGGGAAGAGACCCAGGCTCACCCTTGTAACATCTGCCTTTCAGATCCCCAAACGTCGGGGGTTCCTGTGCTCGGCCTGCATTTCCTGGCCTGTGACAGGAGAGCCCTCAGTCCATTCCTAGTGATAGAACGTGGGCCACGATGTGCCCGTGCCAGGGGGCATCTGCATGGGTCGGGGTGCCCGTGTGGCCCAGCGTCTGTGTGTGATGATTCTGTGGCACACGTGTCACAAGGTGTCTGTGTGGAAGGGAAACCAGGATAGAAGGCATGCACCTCGTCGGCAAGGAGGGCAGCAGGAATCCGGGGCACGTGGCTCCTGGAAAGTCACGCGGGGCATGGCCTGAGCCACGGCGGCCTGGCCGAGGTCCCGCACGGGAGTCGGCGTCTCTGCACGTGGGATGCTCTCGCCTCCTTGGCGGGTCCTGAGGAGCGGCGGGGATAGTGCACGGGCAGTGTCCGGAGTGTTGGCACGGGCCGTGGTGCCTGGAAAAGACCCCGGGAGGCGAAGGGCCGTATTTGCTGTTCAGCCAGTGTGAGAGGATAGTAGATGTCTTCCGGTTTGCTTGCTTTTGACCGCTGTTCCTTTGCCGTCTGGCCGGGGAGAAACGGTTTGGTCAGTTCCAGAACGTTCCCTGTGCTACGTGAGGGGTGAAGATGCCCGGATGGACACACGGGGGGACTGGCTCTCCCCCAGCCCCGCTGGGAGGTGTCGAGGAAGCTCCGCGTCGGGCACTCCAGGCAGAGTGCTGTAGGGCTTTTCGGTCTCGTTCCTGCCTTCCGTCGTTCCTGGACTCACACCAGTGCAGGAACAGACCTGGAGTGGCTTCACCCAGACGCCGCTGAGTCTCCACAGGTGTGTGCTCCACGCAGGGCCGGGGTTCCTGGTGGCACACAGCAGCCTGGGCCCAGGGAGGGCCCCGACAGCCAGCACGGCTGCTCTGCATCTGAGATTCTGCATCACGTCTGGCAGTTGGCCGCATGCCGCAGGCCTCCTGGGATGGCGCCTGACTTGGCTCAGGACGCAGGTGCCAGCCCTCCCGTGGCGGCCAGTGCTCACATCGATCGTCTCTGCCGGGCTCTTGTGGTTTCTCCCGCTGCAGGAGGGCTTGTGCGCTTGGAGTGCGCCCTTGACCGAGCTCGCTCATTTGGCCGGGCTTCTCTCGGTTTAACTGAAGTGAAGCCCGTGGCTGGTTCCTGTAGCAGGTGACCTTTGGTGTCAGGTTATGCAGACTGAGGCAGGAGTTCCCAAACTGGGGTCTGTTAGTGGGCCCTGTGCGCACGTGCACGTGCACGTGTGTGTGTCGGGATGCTGTTGGGTGTGGTTTGCCTAAACGCAAATGCTGGGAGTGAGAGATCGCGGGTGGAGATTAGCACCGGGACGCTGTGACCCTTCAGGACGTTTGCCCGTGAGCAAGTGCTGCCCGTGTCACGTTTTCTGCCCGTGGCCGTGATGCACTTCTCCGAGAAGTGCAGGATTGTCTCAGAAAAAACGCCCACCACAAAGGACAGTAGGGCGTTGGGGATGGATGAGGAGAGACGGACACAAATGGTATTACTGCCTTTATTGTATTGCAGTGACGCATTTCAGGCTTTGCGCCTGGCAGATCGAGAGGGGGCTCTGTGTAGCAGGTTCGCCGGAGGACCTGGGTGACTCGGCTTCCTCATCGGCCCCACTCCGTGCGGCTGTAGTGTCTTTTCCCTCTGCGTGCGGGCGTGTGGTTGGGTGTGGGTTATTCCCGCCCACAGACGCTGCGGGTTGCTTTAGAAGCCCTGACGCGGATCTGCTCAGCACAGCAGAGTCTCAGCTGAGCTATGGCCTCTGCTTTCCGCAAGTCGTGAACTCTAGGATGCGTGCGCGCTCATGGCTGTGTCTGCGCCCACAGCCGCCCCGCCAGAGCCTGTGCATCTCCCGCGAGTGTGTTAACTGGGGCTGCGATGAGAACCACTTGCTTCAGGCAGCAGAGGGCTGCAGACGCCCTCGTTCTTCAATGCTCTGATTTCTAGGCAACAGTGAAACGTCTCAGGGGTCCTGTTGGATAATAGGCCAAATCTTTTTTTGTTTGTTTGTTTATTTTGAGAGAGCCTGAGAAAGCAGGGAAGAGACAGGCAGAGAGAGAGGGAGAGAATCCCAAGCAGGCTCCGAGCTGTCAGCACAGTGTCCAACCCGGGGCTGTAACTCACGAACCGTGAAATCATGACCTGAGCTGAGATCAAGAGTCCATCGCCCACCGGACTGAGCCTCCTGCTCTCGCAGGGAATAAGTGAGCCTGGATGCAGAGGGCCCTCCCAGCCCAGGCCCCCAGCTGGCGTCTGAGATGAGGTAGTGGTTCCCAGGGAAGAGGAGCGCAGAGGAGGCCTCGCCCCTGACTCAGACAGTGCACCTGCGGGCATGATGACCCGTGTGCCCCCCAGATTCCCATCCGTCTTCAACGGCGGATGTGGCTGAGTTTGTGGACATAGAGAGAAGTCTGGCTGGACCTGTGTCCCCGACAGTAGAGCAGGGATGTGGTCGCAGGGGGAGAGGCCGAGGGTCTGGAGGCGGTGGCCTGGGAGCCCCAGGAGGCTGGAAGGGTGTCCCGCAGCCTCCTGAGGGCCCTGCAGCCTTGTGTCTGTGCGGCTGCCGACAGCCTCGGGCATGCGCCTGCCTCCACCCCCCGTGTGTTTGCTTGGCATCCCGGGGCTCTCCCTGGGCCTGGCCGCAGCCCTGCAGTGGGGCTGTCACAGGGCACAGGTGCTTCCGCGGCTCTGGATGGGGCTGGCTGTGGCCGTCTGGGCCCTGCCTCGGGCCCCACGCACGTTGCGGACGTGCAGAGGAGCAGGGAAGGGTGTTTGTGGAAGGTGTTTGAAGGAGTGGTTCTGAACAGACTTGGGGGGCCTTCCAGAACTTTCCGGGGGAAGCCAGCAAAGGCCCCGCGGCTTCGGGGCCTGGACGGGTGTTAAGTCGGCCTGAGTGCGCCCCAGGTTGGGGGTGGGACGACCCTCTTCCATTGACCTTTGCTCCCAGCCTCCGTCTGCAGCTGTAGGCAGAGCCTTCCCCCACAGCCACCCCGGGGCCGTCGCTGCACCTGGCACACATTTCTCCAGAAACCGAGGCTCCACCCCTTTCTAACCACAGGCCAGACTTTGGTCCATGCTTGGCTTTGACTTCACCATGCTTTCCCGCACCTAATGTAACATCCGGGCCTTTGGCGTTTTCCAGCTGGCCAGGGAGAAATCGCCTGCATTTCTGGGAGAGTGTCCGCCTCCCTCGTGGGAACTGCTGGCGGGCGACCCAGAGCCTCTGTTCACAGACCCTTAGAGGAGGCGGGACAGGCCGCCGCAGATTCAGGAAACCCTAGCCATGCTGGGCCTCACACAGTGAGCCCAGGCTGAAAGCAGGGCCGAGCTAGATTTGCTGGTGGCCAGATGGCAGTGGACATGCAGCAGGGGACACGTTGATCTGGTGACCGCTTACCTCCAGCCAGGGAGGGGGCTGCGCAGAGCCTGGCTAATAATTAACACCCTCGCTGGCTGCAGGCCGGTCACAGCAGCGAAAGCTTGTCCTGCGTCTGTCCCCGTCCAGTGTGGGACACCAGCATCCTGCATCACGACCACACGCATGGGAAGGGGGCGCTGGGCTCCCACCACCTGGGCCACTGACTGCGCTGTGGGCTCAGCTGCTTGTGGCCCCCAGCAAGCCCTTGCCCTCAGGGTCGACGGGGCTGTGTTTTTCAGAGAATGATTGTTCCCAGGTCCCCAGGCTGGAATCCACCACAGAGAAGAGGGTTCTGGTTGAGTGTCCTTTCTTTTGTGGCGTGGATTGTGTAGCCCCCACAGGCTCTGAATGCTGGGGGGGTCCTTGAAGGCAGTGGCTGAACAGGATTGGGGTGGAAATAGCGGTGCACTCTTGAGGGCAGGCTGGGCACTTCCTGGCTTAATTCCCCGGGAGGACACCACGAGCGTCAGGAGAGGCCTCGTATCGATGGCACTTAAGTGACCGAAGCGTGTTTTTACCTACAAGAGGGGTGATTCTTACCAAAAATGCAACCAACACACTTCCCCCACCAAAGCAGGCAAATCTCTGCGGGAGTGGGGCCGCAGCAGCTGGAGGGGGGGGGTTGGGGGCAGTGCTCCGGAACCGATTGCTGCCCGAGTTCCACGTGACTGGGGTCTGCACCGCCTGCTTCTTCACATAGAAGTGGGTGTTGCGCTAGCTGGCATGGCGCCTGTGGTGTCCAGGCCGAGCCGGGAACGTCCCTGTTTGGAGAGCCGGGGGCCTGGGACAGGTGCTTTCCTGGGGTCACTGCAGGTGTCCCCGAGGTGTGGGGAGGTCTCTCCCGTGTGTCTGGGGTGCCAGGCAGCAGGAGGTCTGGCCTCACGCTGGGCTCGCTTGTCTGGGTCTCTCCTAGTGCAGTTCCCTGGCTTCTCCTTTGAGAGATCGGGAAACGGTTCTGGCAGGAAAGAGGAGGTTTTGTCCTGTAGCATTTCGAGGGCGCCTGTCCAGGTGGAACAAGGAAGGTGCCATGCCGCTGCCTGGGCCCCTCCATGTTCTTTTTTTTTTTAATGTTTTATTTATTTCTGAGAGACAGAGAGAGACAGTGTGAGCAGGGGAGGGGCAGAGAGAGGGAGACACAGAATCTGAAGCAGGTTCCAGGCTCCAAGCTGTCAGCACAGAGCCCGACGCGGGGCTTGAACCCACGAGCTGTGAGATCATGACCTGACCTGAAGTCAGATGCCTAACTGAGCCACCCAGGCGCCCCTAGGCCCCTCCGTGTTCTGAGAAGCTTCTCCACCTGGCTCACACAGTGCTCCCTGGCAGCATGACCGGCCACGGTCCCCTCGCCTGCATGGC